AAGGGAGCCAGTATTTAAACGAGGCTTAATTTTCTAATTTTTAACGATACAATAGCGACGATTATTATTTAAAAAAATTTTTGTTAGGCTTAACATCGATGAAAATTCAACGCGAAGTAGGTTAATAGCGATATACTAATATACTAATTACATGGGATATAATAATATACTACACTAATAACGGATTTTTTCATACTTTTCGGTTATCCGACTTTTCAGTTATTTGACCAACTCCAGTCCCCAATTGAGTCGGATAATCGAGGCTCTACTGTATTATATTATAAAACGTGTAATTAAGAATTTAATTTTAATACATATATAATGACAACATATAGGCTAATGTAAATATATTATAATTTAAAGATAAGAGAAATTTTACCTTCTCTAATGCAACGTGTATCATAACCCAGTTCTATATTTTGTATCAGAACGTTTCTCCTTATTGTATCGGTTCTGAAAATTTGATTTAGTCATTATTGTGCTTCATAAAAAATTCTCACTCCTTAATGAAAAATGTTTTTATACCTCATATCTGTACCATAACAATACTTCAAATCTCTACGCCAAGCACAATAAGGATCCCTCAAAGAAACACATTCTCTGAAACAAAATTGTTATTAAATTCTAGTGATTAGCAATTAAAAATATTTCATACATACCCGCAAGTTTTTGCACGAATATGACACCGATGCATTTTAACGGCGTAAATTTCGTTTTGAGAAATTACCATTAAATTCTCGTTAAATATATATAATCCCGTTAAAACGGTTGGAGGATCGGACACTTTAATTGTTTGTAGAATTGGAACAAAATAATCTGTAAATCCATTCAAAACTTTTATCACAGTTCCACATTCTGTAATATACATTTATTGCAAAAATTAATTAAATAACCAAAGTCAATATTAATTCAGGTATTTTTTAAAAATATAAATTAATTTTATAATTTTTAAATCCATATTTATGTTCGTGTCTTTATTTAAATTTAAATAATAAAAAATAAAATGTATTACCTGTTGCTATGTACAGAATATCGTACATGTATGTACTAGTTGAATTTACTTGGGCATCAACGTATAAAGAAGTATAGCGACAACTATGGAAGAGGAAAAAACATCAAGAATTTGACGTATCAAATTTATAATTATAATATTCAAGTATTTTCATACGCATGATTGGATTCCATAAGAAGCGGTTCATTTTTAGATGATAGAATAGGTAGAATCATTTCATAATGCGTATCCAAGACATATTCAAATGCTAGAGTAATTTCTCTAGGATAATTTTGGCACTAAAATATTAATTATTCAACAAGAATTTAGTTTAATCGATTCGTTACAATACTTTCGCGTTAACTGCTGTATAATATTTACATTTCCAGGTCTCATGTGTGAATCGTTAAGTGATAAAACTTCAAAACCATCCGTATTACGAAATTCTCCATTGAAAGATGTTTTAAAGGATTCCATATTAAATATACATAAAGCTGAAGCAAAACGATCATTTCTAAATATGAAATAAGTTAATTTAATTACAGTATTTTCTATTCTTCAGTAAGCATTATAAAAATATAAAATACTGACGGTGAAGAATTAAATAGTGCATATATTACGGTTTCTGGGTCTCCTCCATACAGAACGTATGGAATTCTTTCCACTATGTCACTAACAGCTTCTGCAAGAAACATTTTAATATTTTAAAATTAGCACAGAAAGCTTATGCTCAGATTATCAGTTTATTTTATAATAATTTAACTTAACGAATTTGATTAAAATAAATTTTATCTTCAAAAGAACATATCAAACGAGTTTCTGAAAAAGACATCCATTGTTTGATGTTTGGAGAACTTCCATAACCATTATCATTACGGCAAACTCTAGCTACTTTGGAGAATTGTCTCTGAAAAAAAAATAATAATAAATTCCTTTAAAATTATAAAATAAATAACAAAAATAAAGATAATGTTACCGTTTCAGCGATAAGTTCAGAGAAGAAAAAATACACATGAGCTTCATATACAAATGATCCAACGAAATTCAATTCTGTTAGGAAATTTAAACATTTTGATCATATTCGCTATTTATTTTGAATTTTATGTCACATTATAATTAATAAATACCAAAATATGTTTTCTACAAATCATACTTGTAAAATATTTTTAATATAAACCTGTAGTTATTTATTTAAAAAATTAAATAAAATATTTTTGCTTTTAATCTTTATCTTTATATCTTTGATCTACTTTTATTTACTATTTTAAATGACGCATGAAAAATTTATAAATATCCAAACATAAATTTTTTATTTACATTTTTTATATAAAAAATTTATTAATAGTTTAAATATATTTTATTCATTATTTAGTAAAAAGATACTAGAGAAACTATCAGGAAGGATTTTTACTTTCCCGGCTCTATTATAAATAACAGAGGAAAAGTATGGCGATCGGTCAAAAAATAACCCTCCATTATTTTTATATTTTTGGGCATAGTGGACCTTGAAATTTCGAGAAATTCAAAATAATTCAGCGGTTTTTCTGTGTATGGATGTTAGTATATGTGTAAAGGGGCACGATTTTGTCCACCCTATTTGAAGCTTAATAACTTTTATGCTTTTTGTCAAAAATTTCTGAAATTTTGTTTGTAGAGAAATTTGTGTATTAGAAGGGTTTATACTATTAAATTTAAGTAGTTAAAGGTCAACGGGGAATGATCGAGAAGGTTCATGTGTAATATATATCGAGTAGGATCGGACTTAATTGACGATTTTATTAGCATTTACAAATTTTTTTTATAAAATCCATCCTACCCTCAAATTAATATTTTTTGTCACTTTATAATAATTAAAAATATAAAAACATTTTCTAAATAAAATAACGTAACAGATGATGCCACACACAGTTTTAAATGTTGCCGGGAAAGTTAAGCAACGAGTTGCTTAACTTTCCCGGCAACTCGTTGCTGGAAATTAAATTAAATTGTGCATGAATTAAAAATCCAGCAACTCGTTGCTGGATTTTTAATTCATGTAATAAAATAAATATTAATTGAAATGTATAATTATTACAGAAACGTTATCATCGTCGTGTTTCAACTCTTTAAGATAGCAGGTGTGTTTGTAGAATCGTTTAAAAGTCATGATCATTTTATAAAGAAACTTCATTCAAAAGATATAACATACTCAATGAAGTGTTGAATAAAAAATCTCATAGAGGTGATCGATATTTCTTCAGTCTGGATCTGTATATGTGTAATAATAAATAATTTAAGTTAAATCAATCGCGTTAGAATGGAGTGGCTCTCTGGGTTAAATTCTCCCCACGGAAGCAGAAAATTTACACATAAAAAGTACTAATCACTACTCTTTCTTTCCAACCTATTTAAACAGAAAAAATAATGACAATTTCTTAGTGTAGAAAAAAGTTGAAAAAATCATTTTTTTCTATCTGTAGAATAAGTGTGATTACCCTACAACAATGGGAGTCTCAACTTGGAAAGCCTGCACCCCTAAAGAGTATGAAACACCTTTCTTATGGGTGCAAAATTCCGTATTAGAGATGTTTAAAACATGTACTGGACATTTAATTTGTAATAAAAATATTTAAAAAAAATGTTTTTCGTTATTTAGATATGGCATTTTTGAACCCTAAAAATGAAGGTTACATACAGTATATTAAATTTATAACCAAAAAAGTAACATCGTATATTTCTAAACTAACTTACTTTCACTTAAGTGACTTAAATGTTTATGTGGCGTTCTTATTTGAATATTCGGTTGAAGTGTTTTTTTAGATATTATTGGATAAGGACCATAATCCCACTCATAAGTAGCTGTAAATAACCCATCTGAAATATATATTTACATGAATATAATGTTACATATAAAAGTTTATTTTTAAAATTTCTAACTAGTGTTTATAATTTTGAATGTTTGTAGTTTATTTACTCACTTGCTTCTAATGAAGTAACATTAAAATGTGGACTATATGGACATATTCCTCTAGCAGAAAATTCTTCAGTTACTTTTTTCTCTCCATTCTAAATATAAACATAAAAGAATATTATTGTATTGTAAATAATGTAATTATTAACTAATTTCAAAAATTATTTTTTACACTAATTAAGTATTCTCTGCATGTTGGATCATAAGCATTTGTTCCGCATATCAAAAAGATTTCGAGTGTTACTTCAACAAATACCCTCAAATAATTATGGCATTCGTCCTATAAGAAATATTTAAAGCTTATAATTAATATTAGTTATTAATGCATTAATAAAAATTATGATATATAGTAACACTCACTGCTGGATTATGATTCTGTATGCATACATATTGATTTTTTTCTTCCGATCGTACAGAATATCGTACATGTATGTACTAGTTGAATTTACTTGGGCATCAACGTATAAAGAAGTATAGCGACAACTATGGAAGAGGAAAAAACATCAAGAATTTGACGTATCAAATTTATAATTATAATATTCAAGTATTTTCATACGCATGATTGGATTCCATAAGAAGCGGTTCATTTTTAGATGATAGAATAGGTAGAATCATTTCATAATGCGTATCCAAGACATATTCAAATGCTAGAGTAATTTCTCTAGGATAATTTTGGCACTAAAATATTAATTATTCAACAAGAATTTAGTTTAATCGATTCGTTACAATACTTTCGCGTTAACTGCTGTATAATATTTACATTTCCAGGTCTCATGTGTGAATCGTTAAGTGATAAAACTTCAAAACCATCCGTATTACGAAATTCTCCATTGAAAGATGTTTTAAAGGATTCCATATTAAATATACATAAAGCTGAAGCAAAACGATCATTTCTAAATATGAAATAAGTTAATTTAATTACAGTATTTTCTATTCTTCAGTAAGCATTATAAAAATATAAAATACTGACGGTGAAGAATTAAATAGTGCATATATTACGGTTTCTGGGTCTCCTCCATACAGAACGTATGGAATTCTTTCCACTATGTCACTAACAGCTTCTGCAAGAAACATTTTAATATTTTAAAATTAGCACAGAAAGCTTATGCTCAGATTATCAGTTTATTTTATAATAATTTAACTTAACGAATTTGATTAAAATAAATTTTATCTTCAAAAGAACATATCAAACGAGTTTCTGAAAAAGACATCCATTGTTTGATGTTTGGAGAACTTCCATAACCATTATCATTACGGCAAACTCTAGCTACTTTGGAGAATTGTCTCTGAAAAAAAAAATAATAAATATTTATTTTTAATGGT